AAAATCAATCGAGAATAGATGTATCAAAGAACATAAAAAGGTTTCAATTCACTAGATTATATGCTTTGAAAATTTTAGATCAAGCTTTAGACCTTAGCAATTAAGAATTGAATTATTCTACATCTAATAGAAATGATTTCTGTTCAAAACATCACGTCGTTTCTATAACTCGTCGATGATAGAAGAAATGAAGAAGAAATTCCTTAACTCCTTCTATCTTGACAAATACTTGTCAAAAAGGATTAAACACATGTCAATCACGTTCCTTTTCACCGTGACTGAATGACAGTGCGTTTTTAGTTGTCATAGAAAGAAATCTGGTTTCAATACAAGAAAAAAATGTTCAAAGTCGTGTTTATTCGTAAGTGAATATATAAAAATAATCATAATACGTGGAAGAACAATGAATTTTTCTTATTATGTATGAGTTTTAATCGGATGTCGCATTCGTTAGTAAACTAAACTAATTTTAATATTAATATGTTTCATCGCCTACCGCTATGCTAATATTATTCTGTCATTTTTCTTCAATTACATTAAATATATGACGCATTTGGATTTCTGCTCTTATGGTAGATTATAGATTAATTTCTTAAAAGCATCTTGATTATTTATAAGTTTACTGTCCCAGTTCTTTTCTAAAACTTTTTCATTAATTCAATATACTACCAGTTGAATAACGTAGTTCATCTTTTTGTAAACGTGTAAATAAGTCTTCAATGCATGTTTTTCTCTTGTGATATAATCAAAGTTTCTAATTTCATAACATCTTTTTATCCTCTTGTTGCTTGAGTTAAGATAAAATAATCTTCAATATTACAAAAGTGATTTTCTAGACGTTTTCTATAGTGAATAGTATGTATGTGTTAGTTCGCCTTTTCTATTTCGTGTATTTTTCTTTTTTAGAGTTAACTAGATCTGTGCGTTTTAACTATTGATCAATATTTTTTGAAAGACAATTTTTAAATAATGGCAGTAACAAATTTACCTTTCGTTCAACAAAATATGATTCGGTATGGTATGAGCATGTATTTTGCACTAGGTGTCGCAGGTAATATTTGCAACTGCATCATGTTTACGCGACCATTATATCGGCGCGCACCTAGCAGCGTCTATCACCTTTCTTTTTCAATTTTTGCTATTCTCCATTTAATTTGGTCTATTACTCCACAACTTTATACACTCAACAATTCTGATCCTCAAAAACAATTGGTACTCTACTGTAAAATGAGACTCTATGGGACTCATGTTCTTGCATTATACCTTCGTTATACAATTGCGTGGGCTTGTATGGATCGATTCTTCGCAACACGAGAGAATATTCGTCTTCGATCATTAAGTTCAGTTAAAGTTGCAGTAATGCTTATTTTCACTACGTGTATAGTATGTTCACTGATCGCCATTCATATACCTATTTTAATGGACATAAGAAATAATATTTGTGGAATGGTTGGCTTGTATAAATTAATTTATCCATTTTATCAAATCCCTGCAGTTTCTATTCTACCGGCAGTATTAATGATTACCTTCAGTAGTCTGACTATTCGCAGTCTGCATCAACGGCATACTACTCAAATACATGCTAGAAAAAGAGATCGTCATCTTTTGCGTATGGTCATTGCTGAGGTCGTAGTGGTTGTAGCTACATCAATTCCTGATTCAGCTAATCAGATATATGGGATAGCAACACATGATGTTGTTAATAAGAGTGCTCAACGACTTGAGACTGAGTCATTTATAACTTTTCTCACTCAATTCGCGATCTATATGATCAGTGCCTGTCCATTTTTTATATTTATGTTCGTATCGAAACCTTATCGAAAAGAATTCGTCAATACAATGATTAAATGTCAAATCAAGTGTATGCAACGACCAAATCGAGTCATGCATTCAACTACACAATGATCTATACAGTTCGCATGATTAATAAAACTTTTGTTACTGCTTAATAATAGTCCGATGTTTTATTTCAAAGGATAAATTATTCAATAAAAATACTCAGTAATTTTTACAGTACAATATTTGCTGTATTTCTTGCACGTTGATGAAATAACTTTATTGTCCACAAATGTCGTATATGAGGAGATATGAATGCTAAAACAATAGTTACACACATAATTGATGTAATAAAAACTAACCATTGAATTTGTGATGACCACCATGGAAGATAACCCGTAAAATTATAGATTGAAAGTATAATTGTTGAAGGAATAAAAAAGGCCATTAATAATCCAAGAAGAATACAAATTCGAAATAAAACAATTAAATCACGACGAGCCGTTACTTGTTGTATATGTGTCATTGTATGAATTAAGCTATTATTTCCTTGTCGCATCTTTCGTACTGTATACATATAACATCCAATAGTAGTATTCATAGGAATCATATAAGCTAATGTTCCATTGAGAAGTGTACTACGCATACTTTGATATTCAATTTGACAATGATAATCATCGACTAAATATTTGAAATCACCAAGTACAAATGTTGGAATTATCATTAGAAAACAAATGATCCATTGAATAAGAATTAGAATTTGATAAAGTCGAAATGATTGAAGAGATTGTCGTGTATGGAAAACAACACGACATAGACGATAAATGGCTTGAAGTGTATTTGAATAAAATATTGTACAGATGGAAACTAAGACAAAATAAGCACGAAACTGGCAATAAATTCCATCATTTAAAGAAATTAATAGATAGAGATGTCCTTGAATAACACGAGTGTATTGTTCTAATAGTAAAATACAAAATATAAGTAAGGTTAAATACATATTACCAATTAATAGAAGTGCTACTCGATTAGCTGAATGTTTTCGTTTAATTAAATGATAAAGAATAAAACAAAATATTCCGAATGATAGACAAATTGTCAATGAAGACATTACAATGATTGAAGTATCAATGATAAGATTTGTAAGTTGATGTATTGATGAATTCATGTCTTCAGAGAATATGAAAAACAATTAAAATATTCTTTAGTATAGTGTCTAATAAAACTGAAGTTTTTCAATTATAAATTAAGCAGCTTTGATAGCTTAAATAGCAAAAGAAGAGTAGATGTATTTTATTTTAAGAAAAGCTTTTTCTATCACATGTTATCGTCTGGTAGATTAGATAAAATACGTTATTTTGACATCATAATCTTATTTCTGAAAAATGTGAGACTTTACACAAAGATGATTGTTAGTTTTAATGAAAATTATCCGTTTAATATTCATCTTCGAGTTTTTGTTCAATTAAATCGTTATTTGTTTCAACACTCTTTCATTTCCATAAGAAAAACTACCCTTCTTTTTGTTGTCAGTTACAAAAAAAACACAGTTATGATAATTAAGTTGCACTCAAAATAACGTTAAAGGAAGAAAAAAAAAGATTTGTATTCGAATATATATTTGTATATCCTATGAGATATAAAAACTATTTATTTGTACTTGATTAATAACAGTCATTACTTTCCACATAGTTACAATATTCGATTGATGTTTTCTTATTCTCTCATTAACAATATAACTCAAGCTTCATATTAGATATTTATTTAATAAAATAATTTTAAGTTTTGTAAATATAATTGAAACTAATAATAATATATTTCATTTTTTCTCTAACTTTAAATTTAGTATGTGATTTTTTAGTTCAAGGACATTTCGAAAAAAAAGTCGTGATTTTATCGCATATTTCATTGTATTTTTTTTTGTTTCTAGCAACTATTTTGATAGACGTAAGAGAGTATACTGAACAGAAGCGCTATCCTTCTTTTTGTTGTCAGTTACAAAAAAAACACATTTATGATAATTAAATTACACTCAAAATAACGGTAAAGGAAGAAAAAAATGATTTGTTAAATGAAAGATATATCAATCTATATTTAGTTGTTAACTAATGAAAACTTAGTAACTCAAACAATTGAGTGTTATTGAGTAGATACTTTTATATCCTATGAAATATAAAAATTATTTGTTTTTGTTTGATTAATAACGGTCATTACTTTTCACATACTTACAATATTCGATTGCTGTTTTCTTATTCTCTCATAAACAATTAAATTCAAACTTCATATTAGATATTTATTTAGCAAAGCAATTCTCAGATTTATCAAAATAGTCGAAATTAAAGATGATATAATTCATTTTGCTCTAACTTTAAATTCAGTATATGATTTTTGTAGTTCAAGGACGTTTCGAAGAAAAGTCGTGATTTTGTCGTATATTTCATTGTGTTTTTTTTTGTTTCTAGCAACTATTTTGATAGAAGTAAGAGAGTATATTGAACAGAGGCGTCATACGGTTTGTTGATGAAGTAAAAACTCCATTTAGAATATCATTCTTGAATTGACGCACAAATATTTAAGATGAAAGTGTTAGTAATTTCTTTTTTAGTTAGTAGTTAGACAACAAATATTCTTTTCTCCGATGAAATGAATAAAAGGATCTTTTATAATTTATTCATTGATCTAATATTGTCATTTTTTGTTTTGTAGCAGAATTTATTCAGCATAATGAATCCAAAAGCTGTTTTTCAGTGGATTCATCGGAAAGTTTCTAATTATAATCTTTTCATGTTAGAAGAAAATGATTATGATGATGATGATGGTGATGGCAGTATTAGAGATCCATCGATTACTCTTAAATATCAGAAATATAAAACTTGGTTATACGTAATTCTTCTTATAGGTAACCATCATAAAAGATATGATATTCAGTTTTAATGACTAATTTTCTTTTATTTTAGTATGTCTCTACGTATTATTCTATGTTACTCTGATAAAAAAAGAATCTAAAACAGTTGTCATCAAAAATATCACACCTGATATTTTCAATAAACTTTATTTAGAACATGGTCAATCTCTTTCATGTCCATGTTCAACAGTTATGATACCATATGAAAATTTTGTTTCTAACAATGTTACAATGCATCCAATTTGTTCGAGTGTCTTTATTGGAAAACAATGGATTGATGGGTTATATTTTATAGATGCAAAGTCGTTGGGACCATGGGATTTTCGGAAAACAGCGTTTTCACAGGTTAGTTAGAGTTATATTTTTATAAAAACAACACAGTATCCATATTTGTAATATTTTTCTTTCATATAATTATAGTTTAATCTTCTATCCAAATTTTGTTCACTTTCTCAAGAAATCAATTCTCAAACTCAAATCGATATTGATCATACTGATTTTTTTGCCGTTGAACTTCTCTCGGAAACACAAGTTCAAAAAGAAATCGATGGTGTTATTGAATTTGAAAAAACTAGTGCATCTAGTCGAATGATGACATTCGTGAATTATATAAGAACAACAATTCAAGGAAACTATTTAGTTTCGGCTCTTGGTACAAACTGGATAATTACAACCTATTACGATCTCAGCGGATACTATTCCGTAACTGGAGTACAAGTGGATCAATCAGCTTCAGGCTTTTCAAGCATATTTTGCAGTAGAACCGTGATATTAATTGCAGCTACTCTATCCGAATCATCGAATGATTCCATAGCATTTTATAATATGCGAGAAATGACCCTAAGAGACAATTCAACAATTGTTAATGGCTTCTTTGTAGGATGCACTCCTCTCGAAGCAATTTTTCAAAGTACACTGGATTGTTTATACGAGTTGGAATGTCTTCAGCTTTTATTTGATTACTTTCCAAATCTCAATCAAGTTTGTATTTAGTCTAACAATACATTTTCTAATTACTTTTTTTTCTTTAGTTGAATTTCACTGCAAACAATTCGATTTTATCTTCAGAACATGACAATACTACTGTAATTAACTACTTAAGTCGTCTTTTTATTAACAATTGGTCATCAAAAATTAATTATTCAGAATATTTTAATCGATGCTCTCCATCAATGTGCACATATACAATAACAGATCGAACGGATTTATCTTATGCGATTACTCTTTTTATTAGTCTTTATGGTGGTCTCATTATTATACTTCGTTTAGTTGCATCCTATTTCATCAATATTTTATCCAAATTTACAAATCGTTCAAGTAACTAAAATGAAAATTTGATTAGATGTTTAAGAAAATAAATTTCTATTTATTTTATAGATCATCAAAATACAAATGCATTGACACTTATTGAATCAATAAAACGACTAAATTTCTTCAAGAATATCAATGATCGAACAGAGGATAGTATTAAACAGCAAAGAATTACTACACGTGTCTATCTAATTCTATTATTTGGTAAGTCTCTATACTTGGCTTGCGATTCTACTTAAGAAGTACATTGAGCACCATTACAGATGATGATTATTTGATCGGATAGAAATGAAAAGAACTCTTTGAAATCGAATCTATATTTAAATATTCTTTTTCTTTGTTTAAAATATTAGGCTCAATATGTATTCTTTGTCTCTTCACGTCATTCAATAGTGAAATAGTATTGATAACTGTATCATCTCCTTCATTAGCAACTTACAACTCATTGGAGATTGCATATTCAGAAACACTTCGATGTCCATGCTCAAACAAAACAATACCGTATCACACATTTGTCTCTACTTCTCTACGTTTTCATCAAATATGTACAAGTGATTTTGTTGATGATGATTGGATTCAAATAGTACGAAACAACATAGGTTACAATATCAACAACGATTGGCGTAATGATGCAGGCGGAGAATTTCAAACATTATCTGATTTTTGTCGACTAGCAAATAAGACAATCGATGATGCTACGGATAGATTTCTATCACAATTCTTCATTGCTTCTTCTCTAATGAATGAAATTGATTTTAATCGACAGTTATACGCAATACTCAATCAATTTCATCAATCAACACTTTATAATTTTAATTTGGTTAAAGATCTGGCACAATTTATTTTGCAAGTTGATCAACTCTATAGAGGATCAACCGCAGGCTTTACTGTATACGATTATGAGGATCTGGTTATCAATTTCATAACAAATGAAACAAATAATGATACAACGGTACAGGTATGTCATTTGATTAATTACACAGATCTATAATACTTCCCAAATAATCGATATTGACATTGATATATATATGATTTTCTTTAAAGGGACAGTTTATCTTGAAAGAAATTCAAGAAATCAATTCTACGATGACGACATGCGTTTGCGCTATAAACCCATATTGTCAAAATCCGGCTTTTATTCAATTTGAGTATACTGACCTTTCGTCGATTTATGATATACCTGGTTGGAAACAAGGATGTTCCAGAATCGATTCGCTACAACTTTCGACACTTGAATGTTTATATCCAGATTCCACTTCAGATTGTTTTTCGACCTTAATGAGTACTATGGGCAAGCTATCGTATTACTCTTGGTTTCTCACATCATTAACGCTTCATATTGAACCACTAATTTATGATCCAACTGTAAGTCGTTATCCTCCCAATACACCCATGTCATCAATTTTCAGTGAAATGATGCTTGAACAATGGAATTCATCAGCATCGTATAAAATCTTCTACGAATCATGTGCACCAACTTATTGTTCATATTCTCAAAGAATTCATAAACAAACTTTTATTGGAATAATCGTGACATTTGTATCGTTGATTGGCGGAATAGTAGTTTCATTACGTCTGGTAACACCTCATGCTGTAAAATTCATTCTAAAATTCTTGACTAAATCCAAGAAAAAGCCAAAACAAACAATACAAGGTAATCAGTTATGAATTGACTATTAATATGATACTAGATAGTAAACAATAATGATTGCACTAGAGAGAGGATATTTTGTTTTTCTCTTTTGTAACATTTACTTTTCTTCTTTAGTTCGTGGTAGTTGTCTCGATCGATTGAAAATGCTTATACAAAGTTTGATTAAACTTTTACCTACTAAACTCATTGAATTCAATATGTTTATATCACGTGATATTGGAAGCGATGTTAATCAAGTTAGAGCAAAAATTTACGGTCAATGGGCAACTCGTCTTTATATGATTTTATTCATTAGTAGTCTCACTATTCTTATCTTCTATACTGCTATTCAACCAAAAGCTTTGATAAAGAATTTTGATCAACCATCTTATACGTATTACAACCATTTGAAAGAAGTTTATGGTGTTGATTTGAAATGTACATGCTCAAATATTGCATCGACATATAATCAATTTGTCGAAATTCAACCAGTATTTCATTCGGTAAGATAGAAGTCTGAGAGTAATTAAATTTCAATGATAATCGTGTTTTATAAACGTTTCTTGTTTGTTATTTACAGATTTGCTCAAGTCATTTTGTTTCGGAAGAATGGCGACTTGATCTGACAAACGGTCTTGTTTCTAATTTATCTGTTTATAAACAAAATGATTATCGTCGATTTCTTTCTGCTCATTTACAATATCTTCAAGGATTATGTCAATTTTCTATGCAATCTGTAAATAATTCCATCAATGGATTTCTAACATCATTATTAGTTACTAATGAACTTTTATCCAATAGTAGTTTTTATGATCGTCTTGATCTCTTAACTGAACAGAGTAAATCGAATGCTCCTATCTTACTCTCTCGACTTCTCTCGTTGATTCGAGATATAAATCATGGAAATGCTTTCATCTCAATATATGGAACAAATTTTATATATATACCGATGGTTCCAGAAGTTTTCTATGGTTATACACCTACAGAACCTATAATCTATGATGATGATTGTTCTTGTGGATTATTTCCAAATTGTACAACTCAAGCAACTTTTATTGAAACAAATTCATCGATAAAAATGTCTGTCAAAGGTATGAAAATAGGTTGTATACCAAGTGAATCACTTCTTGCTTCGACTCTCGAATGTTTTTATGATCAATCATGCCTTGATCTTATTCAACACTATACAAATTATAGAAATTCTTCAACTCCTCTTTCAACAACAACAACTACTCGTTTTACATCAAATACAACAATAGATGAACTTAAAAATAATTTATTCATTGAACGTTGGTCAACACAAATTAATTATTTGTCCTATTATGAACAATGTTTACCATCAGTTTGTTCTTATACGAATATTGAAAAATTTAATCTTCTTTACACAATCACTGTTATACTTGGTCTTCAAGGTGGTTTAACAATCGTTCTCAAATGGATTTGTCCAAAACTTGTTCGAATTGGATCAAAAATCTATCATCGTCGAAAAAGACAAATAAGTTCTAATCAAGTATCACCCAGTATGATTACTGAAACAAATATTCAATATACTACATGGAATTCTGAGACGACAATAGTGATTATCAGATCTCAGTAAGTTATGACTAATCATTATTTTGTTTTTTTTAATTTATTTTTCTTTTTATTTAGGAATGATGTTATCTCACCGACTCGATCTACTTTCAAAATAGTTATAGGCATTATACTTTTAATTTGTTTGATCATAGCCATCGTTATTTTTTCAATCTGTTATGCTCGACAAGGTACTAATAGAATTTAAAAAATATATGAGATTGTAGATAAAAGTTATTTGGAGAGTGAGAATGAGAATTAACAACTTTTATTTTTCATTTTTTATCTTATTAGAATGATTGTTAACTTTCTTCAATAGATTCGACAACGACGAATCCACCACTTCATGACAGTTTTAATACAACATTAAGCACAACAAAGACAATATCTTCAAGTACATCAGGTTAGTTTATACGAGAAATCGAATTGTATGCCGCTCTTTCATATAAAGAAACTTGAACTTTGAAATATTTCATTTGAATACTAAATAAATAGTTTTGATTAATTCATATTTCTATGTAGAACCAATATGTCAATTTCATTTCGAACGAGTAATGATTGATACACAATGTTTGGAGACAAATTTAGTTGCAAGTGTTCTTATCGATTTTAATGATGATAAACAAATGGATCTAATTTTGTACTGTGATTATACGCAAACGATTGATATATTACTTGGGAATGGTAACGCCACATTTCGAGAAATGTGTAAGATTTCCTTAAGAATGAATTCTTCGGTACTTTTCATTCGTGTTGCTGACATGGATAATGATAGTCGACTCGATCTAATTATATTATATCAAAATGACTATGACTCATATGAAATTGTTATTTTATTTGGTTCTGGTAACTGCATATTTCAAACAAGAAATATGCAATCAATAAGTTTCATTTACTCTATACAAGATATCTCTATAGTGGATCTTAATAAAGATCAAATGTTGGATATAGTTGTTCTGTTAATATTTGACAATTATGTTTATGTCTATTTTGGAGATATTAATGCAACATTTTCATCGCAGTCAATGTTGTTTATAGGACTCGGTAGTGCACCGAAACAATTAGGTATTGCTGATTTCAATAATGATAATTATTTAGATATTGCTGTGTTGAATGATGCTTCTCTTCATATTCATGTATTTCTATCGAATAGTAGCACAGGTTTTCAACCACAGAAACGATTTTTCACTGCATATGACATTGAATCGTTTGATATGGTAGTTGGTGATTTCGATAATGATAATCAATCTGATATCGTTGTTATACATGAATTGATAAATACTGTTTGTATGTTATATCAATTTAACAATGGTACTTTCAATGTTAATAATCAAATTGTAACAAATTATCCTGTAGCATTGGATATAATTGCTATAGGTGATTTAAATGGGGATAATTATTTAGATATAATTATTGGCAGTATTTCTCCATATAAAACATATGGATTCCTTGGAGGTGGAAATGGAAATTTTCAATCACAAATTATCGATTCGAGTGAGCTTGAAATTAGTAAACGATGGATTGGTGCCAGTGATTTCAATAATGATAATTGTCAAGATATAATAAGTATGGACGACACGTCTGGCACCATAAACGTTCTTTTAAATACATGTGGATGTTCCAGAAATTAACTTGTCGAAACCTTACGTATAATATTTAACAAACTGAACTACTCTCAAATCATAATCAACAAAACTTTTACCTTAAAAAATATCTTACTCTTGATAATAGAAAGAAAATGATATACCTAAAAAATATTGCAAAAATGCTTTTCTTATGCTTTAATTGTTGTTCTTTCGTTTATATTAACCACTACCATTTTTACTTCTCAATAAAATAATATAAATAATCAGTCTACTTCTCTATCAAATTCGATTTCTTGAGAATGTGGGCGTATCTTGTTTATCTCACACACATCCACATCCTCAAGATCTCGCTATGAATTTATCTTACTTTCAAAATTTTTGACGACAATGACTTTTTTCTAAGTGAAAGTGAGCGTAAGTCTCAAAAAATCTGTACTCGTCCCTGTACTCGAAAGGTCTATACTTGCTCATCTCTCATCGTTTTAGCTATATAGTTACATTTAAATGCATTCAAAATTTCATATTTTTTCTCGAATAAATAAAAAGCTTTTCGCCATAGTAAACTATAACATAGCATTCAGATATAGAAGACAATACAGTGAAACGTTTTATATAAAACACAACTGAAGTACGAATAATTTAGTGAACATCATCTATACCAAGAGAGCGATAACGCTATTTCTCTAGTTTGTCATCGTAATTAAATAATAAGAAAAATACTGTAGTTATAAATGAAATATCTTCTATGTCATCACTTAAAATTTATTACACTATAGACGTTGCTTTTATTTAGATTTTATTAACTTCGATCAATCTCGTTTAAAAAATAGTATTCAACAAAATTTAACAAGCAAAAAAGTATATACTCATATCAATGTATATTTTGAGTTTTATTCAGTTGAGATTGGATTATCATACATTTTGCCATAAAAATAGGCATTTCCTGATGGTAACTTGAAATCAAGACGAATTTGATCACCTTCGTTGAGTACTGTTATTTCTAATTCGCCACGATCATCTATATCCCACACATTAAATTGTGCACTATTTTTGTTTATTTTATAGAATTTCTCATTCATCTGCCAAGATAATTGCCAATAGCTACGATAATATGTGCTACAGCGAAAACCATCTGAAATTTTGTCACATTTGGAATCTATATCACCTATATTTTTTTCAATTGTATAATCAATATTTTGCTTAGTTACTATATCAACAACTCTCCAATCAAACCAATATTCTGTTGCCAATGCTGACTGTGATTGCAATTTATAACTAGCGGCATATACCAGTTGGACATTTTTCATATCATATTGAACTTTATTTCGAACACTTATTGTACTTAGATGTGCTGTTGACATTTTAAGTTTTTGCAATTATAACACTACAATTGAAAAAAGTTTTAATCGATTTTTGAAGATGTTCTAAATAACAAAACCAATTGCTCGTTTTTTAAGTATTTGACGAAAAGATCTGGGTGGGGGAATGCTTCCTTCACCTACACTCATGTCCTGCATAGTCGCGAAGAATACTTATTCGAGAGAGGGAAAATTACAAATAATAACTAATATCAAACCCAAGTAGAAAAAAACGTTCTACACCAATAAAATTAAAAAAGAACAAAATAAAAAGGAATTTTATTGCAGATAAAATTCTTCCAAATATAAAGAAAAGAAAAAAGAAAGCGAAACGAGAATAAGATTTGTGAGGCGTGATTTCTATAATGAAATGTCAAGCGTGTAGACGATCCTTACTCCCAGTCGATACCGTTTAATGAAATCAGTTGGTTTATATAGATAGCAGTGAACAAAGACAAACTATCCACACATGGAATCTTTCCCAGGTGATGACGACCGAAAAGGGAATATCACCTGTGAGATCTTGCCAAGAGAAAAGAGAATGATTTATATGTGTGAAGAAAAAAAAAGAGAACGCAAGGAAAAATCCTTCATATATATATATAACAGGAAAGGAAAAGTCCATTACAAATATGATAAGGGAAAACACCAAGAACGACAAAAAAAGAAGAACAGTATATGAAAGAGAGAAGAAGAACACATCACTATCTAGCAAGATTATCGTCAACATTTCGTCCTCTGCACAAGCGAGAAAACGGAAGAAAAAAAAGATTTATATGATTTAAACTTTGAATAATTCATAGGTTGTGGATGGAAGCGGGTTTTAATGAAGTAATAACAAAATAATATCTATTGATTTATAAAATCTATTTACAATGAAGCCTATTAAATTTCATGATAATTCATCTACACATACACGTCAATAACGGGAAAAAACTCGTTAAAAACCGATTATAAAATCAGATCAAGAATTGAATCCATATCTTCCAATAACCGACCTACTTTAGAAGTCCCGTTAAATCTTACTCATACTCTCCCTCGTTATCAATTTTTGATTTTTTTTCTTCCATCTTTTTTAAACTATTCATTTGAATTGGATATCGTATAGAGAAAAGTTAAATATATATATATATATATCTCGCAATAAATTTTTCCTTATTGAATGTGATTACAGAATTATACGAACAATAAAATTGTGATCTAAATGAAAAAAACCAAAAGAATAAAACGAATTCTTTCTTTTTCTTTAGTATATGTTGACAATACGTATAGATATTTGAAGATATAGATAAAAATGTTCAATTTTTCCTTATATTTCTATTTATTTCATTCGTATACTTACTTTCAACATTTATTCGAACATTTTCGTTTCTCTTAACTTTTTAAAATATTACTGGAACCTGTTTCACAAATTTATTCTATTTCAATGCTTTTATATTAAATATTTACATTTATATAGCCATAAACACGAAGTATACTTGTTCTTTGTGAATAATAAAATCTCAAAAATATATTCATTCAATCTAGAAACAACTTTCTTATCCCTCTAACCATATTATTAATTCTGTATATTAAAAGCATAACGTTCATTTAACTTTCTATATGTGTAATTCTTCTATCATTATTAATATAAAATATATTTAAAAAATCTATGTAAAAATTCGCCAGGAAATACGTAAAAGAAGTACGTTAATCTATTGTGTACGATTTTTCTATCAAAAAAATAAATGATATAATAAATGTGATTTATATGAAGCATGATGAATATATTTATTCTATTTTATTCTTTCAAATTGGATGGTTTTTTTGTTTGAATTAAATTTTTATTATACAGATGAAATAAATAATAATGTATTATAATATAACTGTTTACATCAAAAAGTACTTGATGATCAAGATTGTAATACTTTTGAATCAATATCTTATTGTATGAATGAATTATCACGAAGATTTTAAATACGACTTGATAATTCTTTGTCTTGTTTTACTTTTGATGAATCATGAAAATAAAAAATAGATAGTAAACAATTATATTTTTGATCAGCTTCAATTGATCTTATTGAACGATATAAATTATATTTAAATGAATAAAGATATATTTTATAATTGAACATTATTAAGATTAGATCCAATATGTCAACATGAATTAGTTGGTTATCATCAATCATATCAAGAATTTGTACTTTATTTGTTTATACTGAATCTAAATTTATGAATACTAATTTAACATGTTATATTTATAGAAAACGTAATCATGGTCCATATTCATCTTATTTAGATTGAATTGATATTTGTGATGGAAAATTCGATTGTCTCGATGGTCCATTTGATGAAGAGCATTGTTCACAAATAAATATAAATAATCAATTTGACAAAACTATATTCAAATTTGAAATCGATCTTAAATGGAATACATGTCTACTAATTTTCTTAATTTAAGATGTTTAATGTGGTGAATTACCTTTGACAAGTTCTTGTTCAATACATCGTCATAAAAAATTATTTGAATCAATGTTTTCTATTAGAAATAATTGTTGGTTAGCATTTAAATGTATTATTTCAATTTATACAAAAGAATTCATTTGTTTATATAATAACCAAATTGATGGTCCTAGTGCTTTTGATGCACCAGATATTATGTAATAGATATGCGAGAAATAATACAAATGGTTTATTATTGTTTCATAGAAGATTTTAGAACATGTGTTGATATTACTGATCTATGTCCTTTTAGAGAAATTCCAGATTCTCAAAAGATATTTCCACAATTAAATTTTTTTTCAACTGACTTAATGTTTTTAGATCAATTACACATTAATATTGTGAAATTTATATGTACAACTACAATATATGATATATCTAAACAATTAATCGTTTTTTTATTCGGTCAAACAAATTACTTAAATGAAAATAGGTTAATTTCAAAAAAATCTTCAAATGAATTATCTCGATTTAACGAGGAAATCTATTGTCATTATAGAATTAATTTACGTATTTGGTTAAATAATAATAAATCAAGATTAATATATCCTTATGCATTTAGTTGTTATGATTTACAATATCAATATCAAAATCAAAGAATTAGTTTAACAATTAATATTCAATCAATATTAGAATATCGACAAATATTATCTGAAAAATTATTTTATTTATTGATAATTTAGTAATGAAAGAATAATTCATTGATATATACAATTTAATTATTATTTATTTTATTCGACAAGATTTGCAAATCAAAATATTCATTTAAATATTATGAAAGTTTATTATTTACAATGATTAATTAATATTTCATTAAATGATTACTATATTAGACATTATTCAAAATGATAATTTTCTATAATATAAATACAAGCAAACACGTGTCTCCTTCGTTACAGAAGAAAAAAATCGATATATTTTATTTAGTATAAGCAATGTGCTCGTTTTCAGTTGTTATTGTCCTTCATACCTATCACAACATAATATTATAGTTTATACTCATCGATAATTACTTTTAATATAAATATAGGTAAGTATGTATCTCCTTCATTTCAAGGAACTACTCTTAGATTTATCTTTTTTAACATTAAATAATTTATCTCCTGTGTTACTCTGAACGATAGTGATAACAAAATATTCAATATGATCATCAATGATAATTTCTCTAATATGAATACAGGCAAACACGTGTCTTCTTTGTACAGACGAAAAAAATCGATATATTTTATTTGGTATAAGCAATACATTCATTTTTCTTTTGCGTTCTGTTTGATATCTATTACAACAAACTATTTTATTTTACAGTCACCGATAGTAATGTCTAAGGTCAATATAGATACACATGAACCTCCTTCATTTCGACAGAATTTATTGTCTTTGAAGAGATCACATTATTTATATCATTATGCTACTAGAACGACAGTGAGAACACTCATCTTCATGATTACAATTTGGTGAGTTGAATGTACTGATTTTTAATTTTTATCGTCGTTCATTCAGATACGAAGAAAGTATTGAATCACTGAGTTTTGAATAAGTATTTACTACGTAAAGGTCGGTGTTAGAAGATGACTTAGCTCAACCTCTTCTTTCATATATATATCTTTTTTTTCTTCTGTTCTCCTCACATATGTTAGTCGTCTTTGTTCTTTCATTTTATCATCGTTCATTTCGTCCTGTCTGTAGTTTTATCATATTGTTTTTTGATGAAGCTGGATGATCGTTGTCCCGCTTCACCTATGTTCCGCTGTATTATTTTTAGTGCTGATATTAGCTCATTTATTTTTATTTTTCGTTTGCTTCAATTGCAGGTATCAGGAAAGTGTTTAATTAGATCGTGAAAGTTATTTATGTAGCTGTAAAATATTATAAAACAGGAAAAAAAATATCAACAAAGAATCGACAATTAATTCGTTTTTTTCGTATTCTGTGTCGCCTATACCATCGTAAATGAAATTTTGTAAAAGTATGGTGATTCTTCAACTTGTTCAGAATTTCAAGCTCTTTAAAATGTTATCTTCAAATACATATAATATCGAAAAACAGTTTATAAACCCTGAAAAGGACGATTCGAAGATTTTTAGAAACGTTGATCTCATCTAATAATTTAACGAGGTATAAACTTTTATTTATATGTTAGATTCGATCCTTTATCAATAATTTAAGTGAATATTATTTTTTAATTTAATTTATCTATCAATTTCGTATTTTATTCTCTTTAGGATTTGTGTATTTTAGATTTCTCATTTATTTCTTTTATTGACCCATTAATAAATATTTGAAAAATTTCAATGTCGACTTCCAATGATCTATTAGAACCAATAGCCATTGTAGGCATAGCATGCGAATTTACAGGTGATATTCATTGTGCCAATGATTTATGGTATGCATTGAAGCACAGTCAAGATGTGGGTAGTGCTGTACCACGTGATCGACTCGATCTCGAGTCTTATTGTGCTCATATGCTGAACAAAGATAATGATGGACAATTGCGTCAGAAGCTGATTCGTCGAGGATATTTCCTATCGAATAATCAATGGGATATGTTTGAACCAAGTTTCTTTGGTCTGTCCGACGCCGAAGCAGGTAGTATTGATCCATGTCATCGACTACTGATGCTCAAATTTGTTCATTTACTTGATGACGCCGGTTATAGTATCGAGAAAATGCATGGCTCAAAAACATCCGTACATATTGGACAATTTTCCACAGACCATGCTATTACATCATTCCGCATGGCGCCTGAACATCGATCAAGATTTCATGGTCCCAATAGTTTGCTCTACAATGCTGCTGCTCGATTATCGTATCATTTTAATTTACAAGGTCCTAACGTATCATTAGATGTTGCCTGTTCATCGTCGCTGGAAGCTGTACATTTAGCTGTGCAAAGTCTTCGCACAAAAGAAGCAGACATGGCTATATGTGGTGGAGTGAATGCTGTTTATTCACCAGAGACTCTTTTATGGAGTTCGCTCATGGGCGCTGTATCACCTGATGGACGAAGTCGATCGTTCAGCGTCGATGCAAATGGTTATGCGAAAGGTGATGGTCTTGGTCTTCTACTATTGAAACGACTAAGTGATGCCGAACGTGACAATGATCACATATATTGTGTTATTCGTGATGTACTTAGTAATCATGATGGAAGTGATGATAAGAATAGTTTTGTTGTTCCATCAGCTGCCGGTCAGACACGTTTACTCAATGATATTTACAAGCAAGCAGACTTTGATCCTCGACGTATTTTTTATGTCGAAGCACACGGGACTGGTACGCCAATAGGTGATCCCATTGAAGCCAATTGTTTAGGTCAATTTTTCAATCGATCTTGTTTTGATCCGCCATTATTAATTGGTTCTATTAAAAGTAACTTAGGACATACAGAAGGAGTAGCTGGTGTTGCTGGATTAATTAAGATTGCTATGTGTATGCATCATCGAACTATTCCACCAAATATGCACTTCACATCATTAAATCCAAATATTGAAGCAGCACGATATAATCTTCATGTTGTCCAACATTCCGTACCATTTCCCTCAGGCAATAACATTGATTCCATAGCTATGGGTATTAATTCATTTGGCATCGGAGGCAACAATGTACATGCTATTGTTGAAGAATATCAAGCAAATAAAACATCAGCTATGAACAAATTTGAAAATGATTATGTTCATGTTCAAAGAAATGATATGGAGCACAAACAATATTTCATTTTTATTTTCTCAAGTGAGTTTCATAAACATAAAATTGTCTAATCAAATAGTGTACTTACGTTTTTCTCTTTTAGCAAAAAGTCGTAAATCTCTAAACAATCAAGTAGCTCAATTCAATCAATGGTTACAAAAGACATCAATAACTGATATGAA